ATGGGAGGTCTTTGCCTTCTTAGTAGAAGATGGTGCTGTTGTAGGAATGGAGAGTAAAACATGAATTTGGGGAGGCAGAATCGGGGAAAGGGAAGCACTCTCATAAAATAAATACCACAGAAGTGTCCCCTCCCCGGGCAGTCTGGCCTTGAATGGCTCCTATTCTCTCTGTATGTTTCTACATCAGAGTGGAACTCCATAGATTGTTTTATGTCATGGAGTCCCATGATTGGCAGCCTGTTGATGGTTTCTTGATGAGAGCAAATAAAAAACCAGTCAATAGAATAGAGCAGGGGCACCTGGGTGGTTCAGTCAATTAAGCGTCTGCCTTAAGCTGAGGTCATGATCCCGGAGTCCTCGGATTGAGTCTCGCATTGGGCTCCTTGCTCAGTGGGGAGCCTACTTCTCCTTCTGCCTGCCACTCCCCCTGCTTGTGCTCTCTCTCTCTCTCTGACAAATAAATAAAATCTTTTTAAAAAATAGAATAGAGCAGACTTCAGGGAGTCTGGCAGCTGGGTCGGTGACTCTCCATGGGGTTGCTCATCTTTAAGTTTGAACGTTTCAAAGTAGCTCTCCCAGCTTTTGATTTCCCAGCCACACAGACCCTTCCCTCTTCTGGCCTATGTTAGTTGAAAGTTACTGAAATTCACTAGTGGGATTTTTTTTCTTTCATTTTATCAGGTTTCTTCTAATTGTGTTCAGTTCTAGATGATGTCTGTCATCTGTCTCTTTCAGTATCCTTTCTCACCAGACCCTGACTAACAGCTGAAGTACAAATCTTTGATGGCATCTGTCTGCTCACTGATACATTTGCAAAATGGTTCTCTGTCCATTAAAATAAACCTTTGTATTATCCAGTGTCTGACTGTATGCCACAGGCAGGACTGTATACTGAGATCCCTTTGCCCGGCCCCCAGCTTTGACAGTTATCAACCTGTGGTCAGCTTTGTTTCCTACACATCCCTGCTCCCTCTTCCTGTATTACTATGAAGCAGATCCCAGGCATCCTATCATTTTGTTTGTCCCTTATTTGTATACATCAATGGTCAGGGAAAGTTTGTGTCATGCTTGGGCTGAATTATTTGGAAAGTTAAGACAATAAAATGTAGTTAGGATAGGGCTTACTCACATAAAGATAAGTCAGGTATCTCCCCTGCTTACCAGCGGAGGACCCTGAATACCCAGCTCCAGAATGAATCAACAAATCAAGCCTACACCATCTCCAGAGCTTGAAGACTGTCTAAGTGTGCTTTGGGAGGGTGCCGTACCTGGGAGTCTTTGGGTATGTCACAGCAGAAAGGCTGAGACTGAGGACAGCTGATGCAGGAAATGATCCCTATAAAGCCAGCAAGTAGTATAGAGCAGTGGTCTGCAAACTATGGCCCATGGGCCAAATATAGCCCACTTCCTATGGTCTTCAAGCAAAGAATCGTTTCTGTTTTTAATGGTTGAAAAAAGCAAAACAATAATATTTTGTGACATGTAAAAACTCTGTGGAATTCAGATTTTAGTGTCTATAATGGAACATAATCACATTCATTTATTTACATACTGTTTAAGGGTGATGGCAGAGATGAATAGTCATGACAGAGGCTAGATGCCCACAAAGCCTAAAACATTTACCATCCGGCCCCTTACACAAAGCTGTAAGACAGGGGCTCTGGAGCCAGCCTGCCTAGGTTTAAATCCTGGCCACCTCTTTTGAGTGACTTTAAGCACATAGCTCATCCTCTGCCTCAGTATCTCTATCTCTATCTTTAAAATATGGATCATCATAGTATCTACCTTGCAGGGATATTAGGAGGAATAAATTAGTAGATATCTGTAAAACATTGAGAGAAGTCCCTGCACGAAATATGAGCTTTTTATTATTATTATTACTATTATTTCATAATACGAGAGCTTCTCAACCACTCTGAGATTGTAACTTCTGTTCACTGAGGATGACGAAAGCCTCCTAGAGGGCTACTGGGTATTCCTAGCACACCTCCTCTTTCCACAGAGATGGAGCCCTGCCTAAGGCTTCCCTGGTGTCCTCAAGCATTTGAAAGACTTTTCTGACTCCATCAACCCATGGGCAGAAGCTTCTGCTAGCACAGCTGATTCTCACCTCTCCCTTGCTCCTGGCCAGGTGTGTAACAGCCAAGAGCAGTGTTGCCCTGCAGTAGAGTGGTCAGTCCTGCACTGATGAAGGCATTTCTGGTCCCTCTTGGGCTGGGTTTGTGGCTGAGTGAAGGTAGTCTCATGGCACCTACAAACACAATGAGGAACACCCTCCTATTGCTCCCCAACACCACTCTAGCTGCAAAAATGAAGTGCAAGGAGAATGAGTGATCGTTTCCTATATGCCACGTCTATTAGAATGGAATCATTTTTGAAGGAATAAATAGTTGTGCTAGATCATATTGATATGATAGGCACTTAACCTTACATGCATGTAACCTGCTTTGGTTTTTCACCTGTTGGGAGGTAAGAATGAGGAGAAGGAAAGAAAACCATTGTCTCCCCTAGCGAAGGAGTAGTAAAATCTACTTAATAAAATCTCACCTTAGGGGTGCCTGGGTGGCTCAGTCGGTTAAGCGTCTGCCTTTGGCTTGGGTCATGATCCCGGGGCCCTGGGATTGAGCCCTGCGTTGGGCTCCATGCTCAGCGGGGAGTCTGCTTCTCCCTCTCTCTCTCAAATAATAAAATCTTTAAAAAAAACAAAAATAAAATCTAACATTAAAAATAAAATGGCACGGACTGCTTTATTCCCCTTTGTTTGTAAGTCAAACCCAAAAGATGTTTTAAATTGCCGTGCCAATACATTTATGAAAATATGTGACCTCCATGCCTCTTCATTGTCTCCTTCCCTTCCTGCCTCTCTCCCTTCTTTTTTTCCCTTTCCTTGTCCTCTGAAAAGATAACAAGAAAACATTTGATAAAAGTCAGTATTCATTCATTATAAAAATTCACAGCAAACTTATCATAGAGTGGAACTTTTTCTACTTGATAAACGGTATCTCTTCCATGCTCTCAGCAAGCACAATTCATAATGATGAACTCTTCATAATAATCACTTTAGAATCAATTATAGTATACCCACTCTCTCAGCCTGTAATCAATAATATATAGGTGGCCCTAGCTAGTGCAATAAGACAAGAAAAACAAAAAACCTATAAGGCCTAGAAAAGACAAAACAAAATTTTGTTATACAGACAATACTGCCTACACACAATACTCAATGCCTTTATCTTTTTTCTGCTTTTTAACCTTTTTAGAGAGATGCCCTCCTGCCCTTCTTAAAATTGCATGGTGGGGGTGGTGTCTGCACTTGAAACAGGATATCTTGTGTCTGGGTTTAGCATCGATTTTGCCCAGCTTGGTCTGGCAGCTGAGTTGTTGGACTAGAAAGCTTCTGCAGGTTGTATTCTGTCATCTCTCTGTAAAGCCCAAAAGCATCCTTGGAATTGCATTTGCTAGTTTTCAGTAGAGCTATTTAACTAGAATCTGGAAACATTTTCCCCGAGGGCTCTTTTTAGATAGCAGTAAAATGTAGCTGGAGACATACTGAGTAAATGGAAAAGAAAAATCAAATTAGGCCAAGAATTTTTCTAATCTCCTAGTCTCACTGAAGCCCTCAAGGAGAACACCATAATTCATACTTGGCTCATGTGGGTCAGGCATAAAGCCTCCTCCATAGATCCAATAACCTATAAATGTTCTGGTTTTGAAATTGCACCTGCCTGCTTTACTGGATCACAGCACTACATCATGCAGCAGTGGTTTCTGCTTCAGTTGTTCGTTACTTGGGAATGTCAGATTGCCAGAGAGCAGCCTGATGTTTACTTCCAAATGGGCAATGCCCTAGGAAAGAGTTTTAATTACAATCTCATGTAGTGCAGAGGGGCTGGCATCTGCATTGTGCATACATCTTGTAGCTGCGTAAACACCCGTGGACTGGGTCATACAGCAAAGTCAGCAGAACCTTAGAAAAGATGACACAGCAAGTGGAACAGAACTGAATCTTCCCCCATCCTGCCAAGCATGTGATGCTCCCTGCCCCTTTTTAAAGCAAGAGAACCAATTGGCATTTGTCTTTCAGCCTCCCCATTCTAATACAGAATCTGTGATCCAGCACCTTTAGCTGTTAAGAAAAATGGAGATCTGGGAGTCTCCGGGCTCTGAGGTGTTTGCAGGATCATCTGAGACCAAGTCCTGCTGCCCCATGAACCCTCCCCACCACCACCATTTGCTACAATGCAGTTTGGACAACCAAAGGTGGTGATATCACAACTCTGGCATTTCCAGCCCAAAGCCGGAGCTAAATTAGAGAAATTCAGGGGCTGCTCAAGAGGGTGTGTGTGTGTGTGTGTTTAGTATGCTGGTGATGCAGCTCTGACATAAAAAATATTTTAAAAATCCTCCTCTGGGCACAGATGCTCAGGAGCCAGGCACTGGACAGGGAGCATCCCTGAAGGACATTGTCATCTAGAAGCAGAAGGGCTATTGGATCTTCCTCTTCAGCACGTCAATAATAGTAATGTGATGTCTCTCATATTGAGAGATTCATCCCTTGCATTTTGGAACTGAGCCTCCCCAGTGTTCGGAGAGTTTCCTACTGTCTGTTCCGCTCAGCATGCCAAGAAGCTGGAGAGGTCCCTGGCAGCCCAGATTCATTCTCTGTCTTGGAAAAGTATTTCACTGCTTCGAGAAATCATGAAGTCAATCCTGGCAACATTGTGGAATTGTTTTGCACTTTTTTTTCTTTAGTCTTTTAATGTTTCTATTTAAATGCCAGAAGGATCGGGTCTATTTCCAAGAGGGCTTCTGACATCTGAGATTGGCAAGGGCACAAAATGACATGAGAGTTTCTCGGCAAATTCCAAATTCAGGCAAGATTTTTCCAAGCACCTACTATGTTCAAAACACCTTGCAGGGATGTCCTGGAGAATCTGAAGTTCTGCCTTACCCCTCAAAACCTTGAAAGCAATGGCTGAAAAAGAAAGAGGAGCATCTTGAGGCTTCCTCTGGAAATGGTTGAGGTTCACCACAGCAATTGGCAAGTTTGGCTTTTTCCATCAAAATTTGGTGTCTTCATGTGCTGTCCAGCATCTACAGCAAGTCAGATGGAACTTAGGAAGGCAAGGGTAACTGTTCTCTTTGTCTTTGTAAAATGTTTTGTCTGTCATGTCCCTCTTTCCCACAGCCTATTGTTTTTATGTAATTCTCCTCTGCAAAGACATTGGAATGGCCACACCCATCAGCTTGTTTTGGGGTAACTTGGAGATTTGCAAATGTTTTATGTGGAGGTGATTTTCAAAACTTGTGGCTGTATGAATTATAAAAACAGATGCGCACGGCAGGAATTTCTCTCTGTACATTTTCTCTTCCTGTTTGTTATTTATAAGTATTCATAGGTGCATTTCAAATATACTGTAGATACAAAGATGCTTTTTAAATAGCCCAGCAATAGAAGAACTTCCTTAAAAAAAATTTTTTTTTTAATTTAATGAACTGATAAAACAAACATTCCTTGTGCTTTAGAAAAGCCCCATTGCATAAAAGAAATTTGGGGAGTGGCTTCAGGCAAGATGGAGAAAGGGTTTTTAAAAAGATGAAACCAGGGGCGCCTGGGTAGCTCAGTCATTAAGCATTTGCCTTCGGCTCAGGTCATGATCCCAGGGTCCCGGGATCAAGCCCCACATCGGGCTCCTGCACATCGGGCTCCCTGCTCCGCAGGAAGCCTGCTTCTCCCTCTCCCACTCCCCCCGCTTGTGTTCCCTCTCTTGCTGTGTCTCTCTCTGTCAAATAAATAAATAAAATCTTTAAAAATAAATAAATAAATAAAATAAAAAGATGAAACCAGAAGCATGAAAACACAACTGCCTGACCAGGTCATTGGATGGGAAATCTGAGGCAGCTTTTCTCTACAGGAGGCATTGGGGAGAATGATTTTTTTTTTTAAGATTTTATTTATTTATTTGACAGAGATTGAGCACAAGGGGTGGGGAAGGGAAAGAGGCAGAGGAAGAGGGACAAGCAGACTCCCCGCTGAGCAGGGAACCTGATGTGGGGTTCTATCCCAGGACCTGGGATCATGACCTGAGCCGAAGGCAGACGCTTAACAACTGAGCCACCCAGGCGCCCCAGGGAGAATGATTCTAAGTGGAAGCTTCTGAATTAAAAGCTGGCAGATATTGGGGGTGAAGTGTAGGGAGCAGACCCTACCCATTTGCTGTCTGCCCAGAGGCTGCTTCTGTTGATGTCCCCTGCCATTTCCCCTTCCCTGGCTCCTGAGCCAAGTCATCTCCACACAGCTGGAGTGAGACGGGGCACTGTTTATATTCCATAGATCGGTAGGAGTAGCTTGTGGAGTGGGACTGGACTGTAGGGTGGAGTTATGTTGTCCGTAATTAACCTTGACATTTTCCTTCCTTTTTTTTTAACCCTCTAGGAGCCTAGTAATAAACGTGTCAAACCTCTTTCCAGAGTCACGTCACTAGCAAACCTCATCCCGCCCGTGAAGGCCACACCGTTAAAGCGCTTCAGCCAAACCCTGCAGGTAAGAAGGACACGGTGGGTTTGTGTTTGCAGAAAACCATGTTGTGTGGGAGGGGTCATTGCTGCTCTCCCCAGAACCTCCCCAGAGATCTGAATCAATGCTTATTTCAGCAGAAGAGAGCAAACGAGGGAACTGAAAGGAAGAAAGGTATGTTTTCCAGTTGTAAACTGGGGTCAGATGGAGTCCTTTGAGGGCTGACTTGAGGAATCATCTCTGTCGGATCTTTCCTCAGAGTCCTATACCCCATCCATATGCACACTCACAGGATTGGTCCTAAAGTATCTATGGGCTTCCTAAGAAAACCAGCAGGTGACATGAGCTGGAGGGTAGGAGAGCCTAGTACTTAGGGTCGGCAGACGACAGCATGAGGAGAAAAATTCAGCCTGCCCCCGTTTTCTTATGGTGCACAAGCTGAGAATGGTTTTTCCTTTTAAAATGACTGGGGCAAAAATCAAAAGAGGAACAATATTTCATGACACTTGAAAATTATATGACATTCAGGGCGCCTGGGTGGCTCAGTCGTTAAGCGTCTGCCTTCGGCTCAGGTCATGATCCCAGGGTCCTGGGATCGAGCCCCGCATCGGGCTCCCTGCTCGGCAGGAAGCCTGCTTCTCCCTCTCCCACTCCCCCTGCTTGTGTTCCTGCTCTCGCTATTTCTCTCTCTGTCAAATAAATAAATAAAATCTTTAAAAAAAAAAAAAAAAAAGAAAATTATATGACATTCAAATTTCAGTGTCCATTAAGTAAAGATTTGTTGGAAAACAGGCATGCCTCAGTATTTATGTATCGCCTGTGGTTGCTTTTCCATTCCAGTGGCACAGTCAAGGACAGAGACCATGTTGCACACAAGGCCCAAATATTTACTATCTGGCCCCTTTACAGACAATGTTTCCTGACTCCTGGCTTAGAGGAAAGGCCCTGTAGTGGAAGCACTTCAGTTCTGACCTTGGCTCTGTCCCTCAGAGACTTTGTTACCCTGGCAGGTGACTTAATGTCTCTAGGTCTTGCTTTTATTCCTAATGGGTAAATTGGGGATAATGCCACAGCTTCTTTAGAATGGAATCATTGTAAAGATTTATAAGATAGTGCATTTAAAGTCCTTAGTATTGGGACGACTGGGTGGCTCAGTTGGTTAAGTGTCTGCCTTTGGCTCAGGTCATGATCCCAGGGTCCTGGTACTGAGTCCTGCATTGGGCTCCCTGCTCAATGAGGAGCCTGCTTCTCCCTCTCCTGCTCCCCTTGCTTGTGCTTGCATGCTCTCTCTCTCTGTCAAATAAATAAATTAAATCTTTAAAAAAAGTAGTCTTTAAAAAGAAATAAAGTCCTTGGTGTTTATAAGATAGTGCATTTAAAGGGCTATATTGCTAACAAAACTATACTAAGCCCTTTGTTAGCAATCACTAATTTACTAATTAGTTGGCTAAGTAGTAGATAGTAGCTACTATAATAATTCTTTGGTAAACAAGTGGCTAGAGTTGTTCTTAAGCTCCCAATAAAGTTTATCTTTTTTATTATTATTATGTTAATCACCATACATTACATCATTAGTTTTAGATGTAGTGTTCCATGATTCACTGTGCATAACACCCAGTGCTCCATGCAGAACGTGCCCTCTTTAATACCCATCACCAGGCTAACCCATCCTCCCACCCCCCCTCCCCTCTAGAACCCTCAGTTTGTTTCTCAGAGTCCATAGTCTCTCATGGTTTAAGGTGAATATTGAGATTTGTCCAAGGCCTTGGACCAAATTTCATAATCGTAAAAATCCTCTTGCAGATTGAAGCCAACAAAAGCCATGCCGCGAAAAGGCTTACCTTGTTTAGCTGAGAAGTTGTCTTGAGTCTGCCATTCCTTCCTTGTCCTGAATACTTTTGCTTAGCAGTATCTTTATCTTGGCTTTCGAGTTATTAAGAAAACTGTGGACCAGAACCCAAGGCGTGTCCTATGCTGTGAAAATCTATGATTTGAGAACTATTTTAGGTCTCCCTCACCCCCTCCTGCCATTGCTTCTGCACCATTCAGCCAACATGCCATGATACTGCAGAGCCCAGGCTGTGCTTTACATTTCCCTGTGGATGCTCTCCTTCTTCGGTGCTTATTCCCTGCCCTGTCCATTACTCTGTTAGCTCTCCTCAGTTTCTCCTGAATGAATACCTCATCACCTTAATTAGCTATAGGTTTGGCTTTGTTTCTCTCAGTGCTTGGGCCTGTGGGCCCTTGCTTATCCCCTGATCCCCTCTGTGGGAGAATGGAGAAGAAAAAGAAATAAGGTCATCTGGGGGAGCCAGATGAAGGGCTTTGAAGCTAGTGAAGAAAAATGTGTTTACCTTCTCTCCCCCATGACCGGTCCCTCAGCCCTCTGGCCAAGTTCATCACAGGCTTCCCCTGGAAGATTCATCACCGCCCTAGTCCTGCACATCTGGTCTTTTGCTGAGTTCTGCTTTTTGAAAATTCTTTAGCCTGTCTACTGCCATTTCACCCTTTCCTTTCCATCCCAGTGGCTGGGGCTCAAGTTCACTCTATAGTTATTTCCGCCCTTGACTATGAGACCTCCGTGCTGCCAGCCATGTCTTCCCATTGGCTCTCCTAGGACAGTTGAACCTCTTCCCTGGGAAGGCCCTCACTCATTCTGTAAGCCTTGGGTGGGCCCTCATCACACACGAGGCTCTACATCCTGCCCTCATGTTGCTTACATCTTGGACAGAGTTGCCTTCTGGTGATTCATGGCCACATTTGGCCCTCAAATTGTGTTTTGTTTGGCTGTGAGGGGTTTTGAGCTAACATATAAAAATCCAAACAATCCATATAAGAATTTGGAATTCCAGGGGCACCTGGGTGGCTCGATCAGTTGAGCATCTGACTCTTAATTTCAGGTCAGGTCATGATCTCAGGGTCGTGGGATCGAGCCCCGCTTCGGGCTCTGTGTTGGACTTGGAGCTTGCTTGGGATTCTCTCTCTCTTCTGCTCCCTCTGCCTCTCCCCCTGCTTGTACACACTCTCTAAATTAATTAATTAATTGAATCTTTTTTTTTTAAGATTTTATTTATTTATTTGACAGAGAGAGACACAGCGAGAGAGGGAACACAAGCAGGGGGAG